CTCGATGCCTGGAGTTCAGGGTTAGCAAATCTCATTTTTGTCACAATGGTGATTTAGGCGGTTTTGAAACTGGTCCCTCGATATGTACTATGTATGTAGAATCTACACTTACACTATAAAAGGCAGACTCAATGCCCATAAAGGAAGCTATAGGCGCGTAATAATAAATAATTAATAAATTGTAATATCCTCCACACATTTAATACTTAATTTTTATTAAACATAAAAATCGTTATTATAGGTTTAGCTGGTTCAGATACAAATTTTTCCAATTTACTTTTGTATTCATTTATATAAACGATTATCTAAACGATCTAGGATGGGCACTTTATTATTTATCTATGTATGTACTTGCATAGCTACATATCTACGCTGTTTCTACATCATAAGTATGTACGTAAGGTGCCTAGTATTAATATTTAGTTGTTTAATAAATAAAAAGACAACTAACGGTTAAACCGCAAACTGGTGGTTGCTGCGTTGTACTTACAAGCTGTAAGTATAAAGATGTTGAATAATGCCAACCGACCCGACTTGATGCTGATCACCTGCAATCGGACTGCTGGGTAAAAGGTGATTTGTGTTGCAGCTGCGGCGCAGGTGCCGAAATAACTACATATCCGCAATAAAACTGCAAATATATATATCTGCATATATATAATTATGTAAATAATCGACATTTTTAATTTATTCTCAACGCTGATCATCATTAATTGAACATTTAATGTAAATAACTTGTTACGAACGATCTCCGCGGAATTGTTGAGGCGCCTGCATTTGCTCGCATACATACTAAGTGCTAGGTGCTATGCACTACTACACTTTCGCAAACATGTCTTAAATATATTTTTTGATTAATGAATTAATTTATTTATTTATTTCGAACAAATACAATGATAACTAATTAGATTACTATTCTAAAAAGGCATTAGTAACTAAGACTATCGGCCATAATTAATTTACTACGAAGAAATGCGAGAATGAGTGAGTTTGTGTCAACAGTCTTTCGTTTTCATTGGCATGAACTATCTATGTACATATGTAGGTTTTGAATCTTCATTTCAAAACAGTTCGTATTTTCTTTGGAAGTTTTTACTTGAATCGATATTGTTATGGTCTGTTGTTCTCATTATTTATTTTATTTCACCATACACAATATAGGTAAATAAACACTATGTACATACAATCGTCCACAAAACAATAAGAGTGTGATATTTTGACCAGTTTTGGCTATTTGTCCTTTGTTTATTTATTTATTTTTTCATAAAAGTCTAGCTGATTATATAAAAAAACACCATATAAATTTACATTTAAAACTTTGTACAAAAAATTATAAAAATTCAGCAAATCTTTATCAAAATTTCAAACTTTTTGATCATGATCTTTAGAAAAAATCTTGGTAGTTCGTTTTGTAGCCCATTTAGTTCTAGTCCAATGAAGTGCAAGATTCAAGTTGGTAAAAAATCCCGTTGATTTTTGCGTTTTTTTTTGTGGTTGAAGGTGTTTTTTCCATGCAAAGCAATTTTCTTTTATATGGAGGACACTGCAGCTTGAAACTTGCACTTCATTAGACTAAAGTTAAATGGGCTACAAAACTGCATGCCATGATTTTTTCCAAAAATTAAAAAGATTGGAATTTTGGTGAACATTTTCTGAATTTTTATACAAAGATTGAAATCTGAATTTATTTGGTGTTTGTTGTATAACCAGCTAGACTTTTATAAAAAAATAATAAACAAAAGACAAATAGCCGAAACTGATTAAAATATCGCTCTCGCATTATTTTGTGGACCACTGTATGTATAGTATATGCACATACATACATAGTTACATTAATAATAAATTTAATGGTGTTTTTAGAACGTTGTATACCTACATATGTATGTACATATATGTAATTTAGGTATGCATAAATACGGGCTGGCTTTAGTTTCATAAAATCATTTGTTAAACGTTTGAAACATTGCCAAACGCCTTTTGCATTTACAATGAGCCAGCCGATTATTCGCTTCGTTTAGTATGCAGGACATATTGCTTTCTAATGTTTAACTTTTGTATCTATCACATGTGTGTGCCGCATTACCGGCATCTTGTTGTATGTTATGTGCGTAGCTCGTGAACATTTTTTCAAATAACCTCATGCACTTGAAAGTTGACAAGTTTGTTATGAATTTTTACGTAGATTTAGAAAAGGTTCACGGATGGATGGCGTATATGTAAATTAAAAATAAATCTGACAAAGGTTTTTGTAAATACATTTTCACCTTGCACGTAAATCAACGGTGTGTTTCATTATTTAACACTAATATTTAAGTTTTTTATTTAATTTTGTAACTTTTTAATCAACTTGCAGCGTTTCATTAAACTTAAAAGCAAACAAAAAATATTTTTTTAATATTTATGTTTACAGTTATTCGAGGGTAACTAAAACTTCCTTTGAATACCTAATACCATGTCCCCACCGGAGCTAACCACGTAGTTATGGCTATTGAGTTGGTTATCCCGATAACCCACTTGATTTAGCGTAGTTTCGCCATATAAAAATGACAGCACTTAACCATTTCA